GCTTCCTAAATGCTTTGCTGCTTGGAAATTTCTTCTGCCAAAAATTCTGGTTCACAACTCTGAAGTCCCACCTTCCACGAAGTCCAAAGGCATAGACACAATGCAGCCAAGTTCCTTGCTATGGTGTAGCAAGGGTTATCTTTTGTCCAATTCCCAATAAGTTCCTCATTTCTATCTGAGACCTCATCATCCACATGGTCTTTACTGTCCACATTTCTATCAGCATTCTGTTCACAACTATTTAGCCAATCTCTAAAATGTTCCAAATTTTCTTTCATCTTTTTGTCTTCTTCTAAATCCTCCAAACTCCTCCAACCTTTGCCCATTACCCAGTTCCAAAGCTGCATCCACATTTTCAGGTACCAATTTTCTATATTAGTCCGTTTTGTGTTGCTATAACAGAATACTTGAGGCTGGGTAATTTATAAAGAATAGAGGCTTATTTGGCTTATGATTCTGGGACAGCTGCATCTGGCATGGGCCTCAGGCTGCTTCTACTCATGGCACAAAGCGGCAGGCAGCCGGCACGTATAAGCAGATCACATGGCAAGAGAGGAAGCAAGAGAGACAGAGAGAGAGAGAGGAAGTGCCAAGGTCCTTTAAACAATCAGCTCTCACGGGAACTAATAGAGCGAGAACTCACTCATTAATCCCCCCACCCAGGGAGAGCATTAATCCATTCATGAGGGGTCCACCCCCATGGCTCAAACAGCTTCCAGCACTGCCACATTGGGGATCAGATTTCCACATGAGTTTTGGTGGGGACAACACATCCAAACTCCATCAGACGGGTTGCAGTTACAAAATTGCCTTTTTTGTTTTACCTTGTTAGATAGTTCCTAGTCATATAACCATATGTTAGCTTGATGCTCATGATAGGCTGAGATTAAGTTTTTTTCCTAATATAAGCATTTACTAGAAATGACCCAAATTAAGCATTGCTTATGTTTGTAAGCATGGTTAAACCTATTTGGTTTTGTTTTTTCAGAAATTTTTCAGGATCAGTCTCCATTTTAATTTTGCTTTAACACCTCGTAGAGACCCACTCCCACCCCAATCAATAAATAGACAGACTTAGTCCCAGAGGTTCCCTCCAGCCAAGCCTTGGATTTCTTCCTCCTTTTAGTGAAGAAGGAAAAAGAAAAAACAAAACAACCCTGCACCCACCCACATCAACACTGCATTTTCTTGAGTCCTGTTTTCTTAGGACTGCACTCTCCCCCCGTCTGGAGTTGCCTTGGCAACCAAGGGAAATCTTTCCAGGAGCTGCCCTGGGGAGCAAACTGTGTTTTACTTAGTCATGTTGAAGAGTAAAGGAAGGAGGTAAGTTTGGAAGCCAGGAGCTCCCCAGCAGGCCCTGGGCCCTTGAGGGAAGGCGAGGGCTGGGAAACTCCTGAGGATAAACTCTCCCTCAGAAAGAAGATGACCTCCTGTCTAATAAATGGGCCAGCTTGGGTTCAGAGGTGCCAATAGGGAACCATGTCCCCTAAGACCAGCCTGGCAGGGAGAGAGTGGGTATAGAGAGATCACAAGGCTTCGAGCTGAGGGTCCAGCCCCCCACCCACCTGGAGAGCCCCCCTCCACCACCAGTCCTAGAACATCCATGATCAGCTGGAGGAATTCTCTTCTCGTGATAGTTTTGCTCAATGGGGTATAGTTTATTTATTTATTCATTTATGTGGCTAGCCAGTATTCAGGGATCTGAACCCTTGACTTCGTTGTTATAACACTGCACTCTAACCAACTGAGCTAACCAGCCAACCCGATTGTGTGACGTTTAGAACATTATTTTTTATTTATTATTTATTTTTTTTTAAAAGATGACCGGTAAGGGGATCTTAACCCTTGTTTTTGCAAGTTTGGAAGCCAGGAGCTCCCCAGCAGGCCCTGGGCCCTTGAGGGAAGGCGAGGGCTGGGGAACTCCTGAGGATAAACTCTCCCTCAGAAAGAAGATGACCTCCTGTCTAATAAATGGGCCAGCTTGGGTTCAGAGGTGCCAATAGGGAACCATGTCCCCTAAGACCAGCCTGGCAGGGAGAGAGTGGGTATAGAGAGATCACAAGGCTTCGAGCTGAGGGTCCAGCCCCCCACCCACCTGGAGAGCCCCCCTCCACCACCAGTCCTAGAACATCCATGATCAGCTGGAGGAATTCTCTTCTCGTGATAGTTTTGCTCAATGGGGTATAGTTTATTTATTTATTCATTTATGTGGCTAGCCAGTATTCAGGGATCTGAACCCTTGACTTCGTTGTTATAACACTGCACTCTAACCAACTGAGCTAACCAGCCAACCCGATTGTGTGACGTTTAGAACATTATTTTTTATTTATTATTTATTTTTTTTTAAAAGATGACCGGTAAGGGGATCTTAACCCTTGTTTTTGTGTTGTCAGCACCATGCTCACCCATTGAGCTAACCGGCCATCCCTATATGGGATCTGAACCCGTGGCCTTGGTGTTATCAGCACTGCACTCTCCCGAGTGAGCCACAGGCCGGCCCAGAACGTTATTTTTAAATTAAAAAAAAAACAAAAATACCACGGGTAGGCTATAGTGTAGAATGCAAAAATCACATAAGGAGTCTTCAAAGTAATGTCAAAGAAATGTTGGCCAGTTAGCCTTGGGTTCAAATCCTGAGCTTTCTGCTTGCTGGCTTTGGGCAGTCATTTTTCCTGCCTGCGTTTCATTTCCTTCTCTGCAATAAGAATAATGCCTCTCTCATGCCTCTCATTCCTACACAGTAGGAAACACATTTTATATCATGTCCCAGTACACACATTAACATATACTGGTCCCCAGCCCCTTATCTGCAATTCCATAATCTCCAAATACTTGAAAAACACACATTTCTTTTGCAACTAATTTGGGCAGCAATCCTGCTCTGTACTGACCTGAGGCTATTTGTAGTCATTACATTACTTATCCTACTTAATGTGAACATTCATTTGCTTTACTGTCAGATATTAATGCATTTGATAACAGGGTGCCACCCAGATTCTGCCATATGTGCCCTGTTTTCCTTTTCTAAAAGATTACAAATTTTGAATTCCTAAACACATCTCAATCCCAGGAATTTAGATAACGATGTGTGTGTGTGTGTGTGTGTGTGGATACATATTTGGAATAATTCACAAAAGCAATACTCACCCTTAAACTATATTTAATATGCTCTAATATTTTCAATTCCTTTTCCTTTTTAAAATAATGATCTTGACCCAGTAAACTAATTTCATGGATACATATTTGGAATAATTCACAAAAGCAATACTCACCCTTAAACTATATTTAATATGCCCTAATATTTTCAATTCCTTTTCCTTTTTAAAATAATGATCTTGACCCAGTAAACTAATTTCACAACCCATTGATGGGTTGAAACTCACATTTTGAAGACACTGGTATAAAGTGTTTGACACCCAATAGGAACATGGTAGGTGGAAGTATCTTTGGGGTTTTCCTGCTTCCTGGGGCTGGAAGACTCACTTTCTGGTTGATCTGAGCTGAAAGTGATTCCACAAGACACTGTGGCACTTCTTTGGTGTATTAGTCTTCTCAGGCTGTCATAACAAAATACCCACAGGTCGGGTGGCTTAAACAACAGACATTTATTTTCTTATGGTTCTGGAGGCTAGAAGTCCAAGATCAAGGTGTGGCGGTGTTGGTTTCTGGTGAGGACCTTCTTCCTGGCTTGCAAGATGTCTTCTCACTGGGTCCTCACGTGGCCTTTCCTCTGCACATGGAGAGAGAGAGTGAAAGGTCAATCTGTGTCTCTTCCTCTTCTTATAGGGACACCAGTCCTATCATGTCTTTATGACCCCATTTAATCTCCATCACTTCACTTCCTCAAAGGCCTTATCTCCAAATACAGTTACTGGGGCTTAAGACTGCAGCATATAAATTTGGGGGGACATAATTCAGTCCATAACACTGGTGACTCTATCAAAAATACCCTATGTGACAGCTGCTCATTTAACCACAAAATACCCAGTGCCATTTACACTTTACCATACTCTCCTCTAACCTTGAGGAAGTCCACACAGCTGGCCCAGCAATCTCATGCCTTGCATCATCAGAATAACCTTATTCTTTTTTTCTTTCTGACTAGACAGCAAAAGCTTCATTGAGCAAGTCATTAAGTATTTCAAGGACTATGTGAGGAGAGAGGCTCTGGAACTCCTGCTGACTGAAGGTGGAGTCTGGGAGAGTCTGTTGGCAGAGGCTGGTTTGTCCAGGTAATCTCCATGGGGTGCACAGCAATGCCACCCAGCTCTCCCTGCTGGGCTAGTTTTCTCCGGCAGGCACACCTCCTCCAGACAGTTTTCCTTGCTGGGGTTGAGGATGCTCCTTCTCAAAAATCCACAGAAAATGTTTCCTCTGTTTCCTTCACTGGCAGTGAATGGCCTCAGGTTGAGGTGATGTAAAGCCGACAGGAGCAGGATAATTTCCTTCATCTGCTAGTTATGTGACCTTTGCAAGTTACTGTATCACTTTCTGCCTTAGTTTCTTCATCCAATGACTTTTAGGTGAGATGAATAAGATAATGCATGTAAAGTGCTTAGCATAATGACCGGCACATAGTAGGTGCTCAATTAACATTAACTTTTAAGAAACTCTGTGGGAAGCAACCTGGGCCATGGGTCTCCTTCTTGCAAATGTTACCCAAGCAGGACTTCCTTTGGGACAAATCAGAAAAATCCTGACGTGATCAGTTTGTGTTCCTGAGGAAACTGGGTAGGGCCTTTTTCTCCCCATCTGAGGATTTGTACAAACAAGACAGCATCCTTCTGCTGGCCTGGATGCAGAGAGGCTGGAGTGGAGTTGGACAGAGCTGGGTTGGATCCTGCCTCTGTTCCTGTTCAGCTCTGGGGCTCTAGGCTTATGTCTTGGAGACTCAGATTTATCATCTGTTCTAAGGGAATAGTAATTCAATCGGACAGGATCGTGGTGAAGGACTTAGGGAACCAAGTACAAACATCCTGCCCAAAGGCCCAAGGAGACCTGGGCGAGGGTTAGAACCAGAGGTCAGGATGGAGCAGGAGTGGGCTTAGGTTGGAGGAGTAGAAAAAAAGAGAGCAGATGTTAGGCAAAATGATCTTTAAGATACCTTCTAGCTCTGAGGTTTTTTGTTTGTTTGTTTTAATTCTAAGTACCCAGAGTCAGCCAAACTGCAAAGCCTGAGGACATAATCCCCAAGACCTCTCTTACTTTGACACAAACTACAAATTTAGGGGGCTCCAAAAGCCACCCTCAGGTTTGATAACTCACTGAAAGACTCGCAGAACTTAATGAAAACTGTCATTACACAGCTACGGTTTATTGCAGGAAAGGACACAGGCTGAAATCAGCCAAAAGAAGAGACACATGGAGCAGAGTCTGGGTGGGTTTCAAGTGTGACACTTCCGTTGTCCTCAGGACACAGTACTGTCCTGTATTCAGTGTACAATGATACACATGGAGTATTGCCAACCAGGAAAGCTCACCTGGTAAAGAAAAAAATCATTCCGATACCTATGGAAACAGTGAGGAAGACTTTATTCAGGACTATTGCAATAGGGAGAGATTGGGCTCAACTTTAAATACAGTGAAGACAGCTGGGGACTTACAGCCAACAAGCAGAGTGAGGGGTCAGTAGATGGAAAATCACTAACATGAGGGTAGGAGGACTCTTGCTAAACTGACCTAACGGGATTTTCCTAAAGGCAGGTCAAGTCTAAGACATCAAAAGTGGAGATGAGGAACTTGATCAGTTGTCAATCCTACTAAACTGACTTAGTAGGATTCTTGCTAAGACTGGGCCATGCAGGCCCAGCAGGGACAGGATGGACAAGGAAGGCCAGGGTTAACACCTAGTGGAGAAGAGGTTCAGAAGAGCCTAACTAGTCTTTGGTCAAGGAGAGAGTCTCTTTCATCCTGAGCCTCAGTGTCCACACTTGCTGGGGCTCAGCCACATATTGCCCTCATGGCTGACCTGTAGTCCGGACAGCTAACGCCTTTAGTCTCTAGTTCTTCTGGAGGTCAGAAATTACACCCTGTGGCCCGAAGCTCCCCTTGCACGTCACATTGTGACACAGACAGTCCCTGACTTACAGTGGGTCTATGATGGTGCAAAAGCGATATGTGTTCAGTAGAAACCACACTCCGAGTATCCATACAGCCGTTCTGTTTCACTTTCAGTATAGTATTCAATAAATTACATGAGATATTCAACACTTTATAATAAATATGTGTTCAGTAGAAACCACACTCCGAGTATCCATACAGCCATTCTGTTTCACTTTCAGTATAGTATTCAATAAATTACATGAGATATTCAACACTTTATAATAAAATAGACTTTGTGTTAGATGATTTTGCCCAACTACAGCCTGTAAGGGTTCTGAGCACGTTTAAAGTAGGCTAGGCTAAGCTGTAACATTTGGTGGGTTAGGTGTATTAAATGCATTTTCGACTTACAACATTTTTAACTGTTGATGGGTTTATCAGGACATAACCCCATTATAAGACGAGGAGTATTTGTACTGTCCTGTGCCAAAAGCCCCCGGGCAAACAAAGACACTCCTGTCAGGCAGGACATTCTGGGAGCTGAGAGATCACTTCCCAGTAGCTGAGGGCAAAGGTTAACTCTCTTTGGTTAATTCTTCTCTACACACTAAGATTCTCTGAATAAAGGCATTTGGGCTCCAATTCCACTTCTCTTTGCTCATCCACGGTTACTACTATGCAAATACTTGGGTAGTGATGGAGAAGTCATCTTTGTTGAATACCTGCCATTAAAGAGCTCTTAAGATGACTTTTACCATCTATTCTCTTATTGAATAAATAAATAATATAATATGTACTACAGAGCATCTATGATGTACAAAACACGTTTAACATTGAAAGAAAAATTAGTAACATTTGTAAAGTTCTTTTCCATTTGATTTATAGTAAAAGCTCTGTGATTCATGCAGGATAGATCTTACTGAGCCCATTTTATGGATAAGAAAACTGCCTTTCTTAATCACTTGACTTTATGGTTACAGGGATGAGGCAAATGAGCTCTATGAAGCTCTGAGAAAGCTTATGACAGTCATGGCCACGGAGGACAAAGCCATGCTCCAGAAAGAAGAGCAGGATAGAAAGAGGTTTTTGAACGAGTTTCCTCAGACGAAAATGGAGCTTGAGGAGCTCATAGGAAAGCTCCACGCCCTCGCAGACAAGGTTGACAAGGTACACAGGGACTGCACCATCTCCAACGTGGTGGCCACCTCCACCAGCATTGTCTCTGGCATCCTGACCATCCTTGGCCTGTCTCTGGCACCGGTGACAGCAGGGGCCAGTCTGGTGCTCTCGGCAACTGGGATGGGGCTGGGAACAGCGGCTGCTGTGACTGGCGTTTCCAGCAACATTGTGGATTACTCAAGCAGTTTGTGGGCAAAAGCCGAAGCTGACCACCTAGTGTCAGCCGGCATCAGCGGGGAGGAGCTTGTTATGAAGGTTGTGGGTCACGCTGCATCCGAAATTAAATCCGTGACCGAGAAATGCATCCCACTCATCCAACGCATTGGGAAACACATCCGCGCCATCAAGAAAGCCAAAGCCAACCCTCACTTACTAGCCGAGGCCAAGAGCTTCATGACCGCCGGGACAGCCTCAGTCCAATGCAGTGGGCAGGTGCAGGAAGCATTTGGAGGCACTGCTCTGGTGATGACCAAAGGAGCCCGCATCGCGGGTGCGGCCACTGCAGGTGTTCTCCTTCTGGCAGATGTGATCAGCCTTGTCAAAGAGTCAAAGCACTTGCATGAAGGGGCAAAGGCAGAGTCAGGGAAAGAGCTGAGGCAGCGGGCTCAGGAACTGGAGAAAAAATTAGAGGAGCTCACCCAGATCCACAAGGGTCTGCAGCTCCCGCCAAACTAAGTGACCCTCCACAGCAGCTCAGAGATCAGGGCAGATGTGCTGGACAAAGACATGGGCAAAATAGAGGCATATGATTAGAGGGAAAAAAAGGGTGAGGTAAAGTTTATGGAACTGGGCATTAAGTATTTGGCATTTCTGTAGCTGAGCACAGTGTATTAGTTTCTGTTGCTTATAACAAAATACACGGAACTGGTGATTTATAAGAAAACAAAATTCATTGCATACAGCTTCAGAGGCTGGGAAGTCCAAAGTCTAGGGAACACCTCTGGTGAGGATCTTGGTGGTGACAACAGTGACGACAGAGTATAACATTGCAAAAATGGTGGAGCAGAGAGAGAGAGAGAGAGAGAGACTCTCTTTTCTTTTAAAGCCCTCAGAACCACGCCCCTGACCACCACTTTTAATCCATTCACTTCTGCATGGTCCTGCAATCCAATCACCTCTTCAAGGCCCCACCTCTAAATTACCATAATAGGATTTCCCATCCTCTCAACCGTCACAGTGGGGGCTAAGTTTCTAATACATAAAACGCGGGGGACACAATTCAAGCTTCAGTTAATTTCAGGGGGACATAATTCAATTCACTACACACAGCAAGGGAGGTGTTAATGCAGGTGGCAAGCGGGTCAGGGAGAAGGCAGGAATGCTGGCCCCTGGGGTAAGGGAGGAGAGGGGACCCGGGAGTGCAGGGAATGGGAAGAAACAGTTTATTTGGACTAAGGAATACATTGGGGGCATGAATAGCGAGAGAAGGGTGCAGAAAAAAGCAGTAAGAAGGCCAGGAAAACGAGGGCAGAAAATGGGAGAAAGCCAAAGAGTCAGCACTGTGGGGATACAGGAGAAGAAATGGGCTCCACGACCGACCCTCCCCATGGCTTGACATCCCAGCAAGAATGAATTCTGTCCCTGGTGGTCTCTGGCCTTATCTTTTCAGTATCAACTCACCTTTGTCTTCCAGTGGGTTTGTGTCAGTCGGGTGGTACTTCTTGATGATGGTGGTGGTGACAGCAGAGTAAGTGGAGCACTTGGCAAGTGACTGTTCCTGTTTGGGGCCAGGGTACACAAGGGACCAATGAATGAAACTCCAGTGAGAGAAGCCAGTCAGACTCCAAATGCTGTCTTGGAACAGTGATTGATTTGGGGGAAAAAAAGTGAAACCAGATGCTAGGGACACTTCAAGGAACTTTAAGGTGCATCAAGAAGATCAACCAGTATGGGGTCAACAGACTCAGCCTCAGTTTCCTCATTAGTTGGGGGAGGGTGTGCTGGACAAGATGAGACCACAGATCCATCTGGCTCTCCCCATCCTGTGTTCTGACTTTGGTTCAGTAAATATTTTCTGATACACTGAGCCTTTGTTGTGTTGACGGAGTGGCNGCGCCGCCGCGCTTCCCAAGCGGCGCACTATCCAGTGCGCCACCGGGCCGGCCCCAGAACTGGTGATTTTTAAGAAAACAAAATTTATTGCATACAGCTTCAGAGGCTGCATACAGTCCAAAGTCTAGGGAACACATCTGGTGAGGATCTTGGTGGTGACAACAGTGACGACAGAGTATAACATTGCAAAAATGGTGGAGCAGAGAGAGAGAGAGAGAGACTCTCTTTTCTTTTAGAGCCCTCAGAACCACGCCCCTGACCACCACTTTTAATCCATCCACTACTGCACGGTCCTGCAATCCAATCACCTCTTCAAGGCCCCACCTTTCAATTACCATAATAGGATTTCCCACCCTCTTAACAGTCACAGTGGGGGCTAAGTTTCTAATACATAAAACACGGGGGACACAATTCAAGCTTCAGTTAATTTCAGGGGGACATAATTCAATTCACTACACACAGCAAAGGAGGTGTTAATGCAGGGGGCAAGTGGGTCAGGGAGAAGGCAAGCATGCTGGCCCCTGGGGTAAGGGAGGAGAGGGGACCCGGGAGTGCAGGGAATGGGAAGAAACAGTTTATTTGGACTAAGGAATACATTGGGGGCATGAATAGCGAGAGAAGGGTGCAGAAAAAAGCAGTAAGAAGGCCAGGAAAACGAGGGCAGAAAATGGGAGAAAGCCAAAGAGTCAGCACTGTGGGGATACAGGAGAAGAAATGGGCTCCACGACCGACCCTCCCCATGGCTTGACATCCCAGCAAGAATGAATTCTGTCCCTGGTGGTCTCTGGCCTTATCTTTTCAGTATCAACTCACCTTTGTCTTCCAGTGGGTTTGTGTCAATCAGGTGGTACTTGATGATGGTGGTGGTGACAGCAGAGTAAGTGGAGCACTTGGCAAGTGACTGTTCTTGTTTGGGGCCAGGGTACACAAGGGACCAATGAATGAAACTCCAGTGAGAGAAGCCAGTGAGACTCCAAATGCTGTCTTGGAACAGTGATTGATTTGGGGGAATAAAAGTGAAACCAGATGCTAGGGACACTTCAAGGAACTTTAAGGTGCATCAAGAAGATCAANGCAAGAATGAATTCTGTCCCTGGTGGTCTCTGGCCTTATCTTTTCAGTATCAACTCACCTTTGTCTTCCAGTGGGTTTGTGTCAGTCGGGTGGTACTTCTTGATGATGGTGGTGGTGACAGCAGAGTAAGTGGAGCACTTGGCAAGTGACTGTTCCTGTTTGGGGCCAGGGTACACAAGGGACCAATGAATGAAACTCCAGTGAGAGAAGCCAGTCAGACTCCAAATGCTGTCTTGGAACAGTGATTGATTTGGGGGAAAAAAAGTGAAACCAGATGCTAGGGACACTTCAAGGAACTTTAAGGTGCATCAAGAAGATCAACCAGTATGGGGTCAACAGACTCAGCCTCAGTTTCCTCATTAGTTGGGGGAGGGTGTGCTGGACAAGATGAGACCACAGATCCATCTGGCTCTCCCCATCCTGTGTTCTGACTTTGGTTCAGTAAATATTTTCTGATACACTGAGCCTTTGTTGTGTTGACGGAGTGGCTCACCCGGGCTCCACACACCTGACTTCCCTTCCTCTTGAACCTCCTCCCAGGATCTCAGGGAGAGAGTCCTCCATTGCCCCTCCTGCTCACTCACCGGGCTCCCACTCTCAAACCTGTCCTTTCCCTCAGACCCGGCACCTGCAGGCCCTACTGGGACACCCAGGCAGAGCTTGTGCACGTCTGGGTGTGTTCCCCATCTAGTGGGTAGGGCCCAGGAGTGACACACGCACAGGAAGCTGATGAGGATCAGAAGACCCTGTGTGCTGATGTGAACAAGGTTCAGCGGTAGAGGGACAGACAGACAGCCAGACAGCAAACATCCCCATCCAATCTGCCCTCGCGTCTCACCTAGACTCCTGCAAGCTTCCAGAGTGGTCTTTCTGTGGCTCTGCCCCTGCCCCTGCCCATTCTCCACACTGGGCCAGATCGGCCCTTAAGAATATAGATTTGATCAATCACCTGCTTCCAACTCTTCTATGGTTCCCTTTACTCTTAGCACAAAAGCCCCAAGTCTGCATGCTGCTTAAAGTCGCTTGTTCTAGCATGGGGTCCCCTGAAGGCAGAGCCAGAGGCAAGGCTTGTGCAGGGGGTTTATTTGGGAAGTGATTCTGGGAGCAGGGCTGAGGGACTGGGGGGAGTGATGCAGGGAAGGAGGGAAGTCAATACAAGGATGTGTTCTTGATTTGGTCACCCGTGTGGGTGACTGAGCCTGCCAGGACCCGAGGAGCATTCAAGGAATGTCCTCAGAATCTTCCTCCCTAGGGAAGAGAGAAGGAAGCAGTTACCCATTGCTCTCTCCCTCCTGGGCTTGCCC